CTCTCCTGGGTTTTGAGAAAACCTGGTGCTGCTCCACTCCTGTGATCAACCACAGCTCCCAAGGCCTGTGTGATCCCACAGGGAGCTGAAATCCTGTGGGAAAGCCAAACCTGCTCCACATGGCTCACCCTTCACCATCCAAAACCACAAACAAGGCTGACCAAAGGCTTTTCCAGGCAGCAGAGGAAACATGTACCAGGTCATGCCGATGCCACCAAGGCTCATCCTGGTGCAGGGGGACCAGCTGGCCACAGGCAGAGCCAGACCTGCACACAGGGCTCTGCCAGGGTGCACGTCACTCCCTGAGATGGCTCCAGAGGGAGAACCTACACACACCAGCCACAAAGTGACAGCTTCTACCAAAAAAAGCCCAGACTGGTTTGTTTTGGTTGCCTGGACAGGAGAGGTGACTCACTGCAAAACACACAGGGTTTCTTCTTTTCTCTGCCCCATCCCAGAAAACATTTTAAAAGCACAAAAAGGAAAACTAAACCTTTTTTTGATCCAAAACAGCCCTTCACATCTTCCTCTCCACATGGCCAGCGTGGGTTCAGGGCTCATGGATGGTTCAGGAGGGCAGTCTGGGCTGAGGGAATGCACATTCCTCACTTCAGCGAGGAAAGGAAGAAAAGAAAACTTTGGGGTTTGGGCAGATAGTGAATCAAAACTTTGATTAATCACCTGGATCATCATCTGTCACCGGCAGAGCCAGGCTTAGACCCAAAACACTGAGGACACTTCACGTGCCTCGGTGCCCTGGGCTGAACCCAAGTGTGACCCCAGCAGCCACCAGATCCCATTGGGACCCACTGGCTCCATCAAATCCTGAGAACTGGCACAAGCCACCGCGTCACCCACAGCCTGACTGATTCCCCCACATCTCCCAGGCCGCCCTGGTGGCTCTGCAGTGGCCCCTTTGCTCCAGGCCACCGTGGGTGGCATCGCCTCTGCTCCTCCGCAGGGCTTTTCTCCCCTGCAATCCATGCCAGTGTATTTATAGTGCCCTTATCCCGCTGGAGCCTATTTTGGGCCGATGCTCAGGCCCCAGAGCAGCGCAGGTTATTTTAACCCAGCGCTGGGTTATTTTCAGGGCTGCCCTTCTCCGCACGTGCTCCGGGATGGGTTCCAACTGCCGGGCAGATTTGGGGGTGGTGGAGGCAGGGAAGGGGGAAAGAGGGACCCACAAAGGAATTGCAGAGATTAAAACCCAAACCAGCGCCTGCAGCAAAGCTGCCTTTGGCACACCACCTGCCTGGGATCCACCTGGAATCTTGGAAGGTGGATTTTCTGCAGGATAACCCATGAGCAAAGAGCAGGGGGGGAGGGGTTTCTGAATGGGGAGACAACAAACGAGAGGGGAAGGAGAGCAAGATACACAACAGGGAAGGAGAGCCAAGAACTGGATGCTCCTAAAATGTCCAAGGTCACCAGTTGGTGGCCCCAGGTCCAGGAGGGAGCAATGACTTTGTTCAACAAAGGCAGGAACAGCACCATGGGACGGGACCAGGAGACACTCCTCATTCTCTGCATCCAGGGAACCCCAGCCCTGCTCCCACCCTGGGCTGTCCTGGAGCAACCAGGGAGAGGAGGCCCCCAGAGGAGTCCTGTCTGGATCCAGGTGCTGCAGGAAGCACCATTTCCCAAGCTGTGAGCCCAGATTTCTGGCCATTGAGTGGGGCTCTCTCAGCTCAGAGCCAGGAGCAGCAGCTGGTCCACAGCAGATCCCACAGCCCATCCCCAAAAAGCAGGGGTCTGCCAGGACAGCACTGCCAGCCAGGGCATCCCCACCTGCCATAGCAAGGGCAGCCAGAGGGATCCAGCTCCATCCCCCCTAGCATGGCAGCAAAACTAATTTGCCAGGCCAGAAAATACCTTAAAAATTAGAATACATTAAAAAAAACTCCACAAGGGCAGCCCTGCCCAGGAAAAAAGCCCTTTCCCATACCCTGATCCCCAACCTCCAGTCTCCACCACTTCCTCCATCCCCAAACCTCCCAGATCCCCCCACACAACCTTCCTCTGGCCTCCTCTTCCCCCTCACCCCCTGGCAGGTGGATGTGTGGGGAGGATGGACCAGGGGGTGGATCAGGGGGTGGCAGAGCAGCCCCCAAAAGCTGTTTGCAGCTGGCAGGGAGCACAGCCCTGCCCGTGACCTCCAGGTCCCGCTGGGGATTCAAGGATCACACCATCCTGCTGGGAAAAGTGAGTCAGGGCCGGAGCTGCTGCCAGCCCCTATTCCTGGATCCCACTGCACTCCCACTCCCAGCCCCCCTGGACCAGGAGCCACTGGAAGCTGGGAAGGCCAACAGCGGGAAGACCCAGGGGTCTCTCTCCCCCTCCCACCTCGCCCAATCCACCCACCTGCCACAAGCACCTGCCCACCACGTAGGTCTCAATGCATTTTTATTAAATTCTTACAAAACAGAATACAAAATTCTGGCATCAACAATTGTTATAAAGGAAAACTTCAATTCAGCTGTATCAGGTCACCTGGTACATACAAGTAAAGTGCTTATTTTTGTGTGGGTTTTTTCTTTTTTTTTCCTTTTTTGTTTTTGTTTTTTTGTTGATTTTTTTTTTGTTTTTTTTTTAAATATTTTCAGTTTTTATTTCCCAGCCAGCCCCCGAGCAGAGGCCGCTGCTGCACAAACCAACAGTGCGATAACGTGACTCCTGTGGAACCAGCTTTGGCAGTCTTCATCAATTGTAAAGAGGAGAAAGCTTCTCCTGGTTTGATAAAAAGAGTTAGAGCTTCACAGTAAACGTTTCTAACCAGTTCTAAAGTCGAGTTAGTTGGCTGAAGGAAGGGGGGGGAAGGAGAGGAAGCCAAAACGCTTAAAGTTTCCAGCTTAAAAAAAAAAAAAAAAAAAAAAAAAAAGAAGAAAATCTTTTTGAAGTTGGTTTCCAAGATAGATGCTCTATGGGTAGGGTGGGAGGAAGCTTGGGAAGAGGAAGAAGAAGGGTGTTGGTGAAAAGGGGTCGCTGGTGCTGGACCACGGGAGCATCTGTCTGGAAACCGCCTCGGGAGAGGCGTTGGCATGAGGGTCTCCCCAGCCATCCCTGTCCCACTGAGGCACCCAGGGGTGCCCAGCACTGCCACGAGTCAGACTGGAGCCATTCCAGAGTCAATCCCCAGCTCTAGAGGCAATTAAAGATTCTCTCCCAACACCTGAACCCTGCCATGGGTCACCCCAAGCGCTGGGTTCACCAACCCAACCCCCGCCCCAAACACCAAGCCAAGCCTGGGCCGAGCTCGGGCACCCTCTGGCACATCCATCCCCTCGCCACAAACCCCCACAGCACCTTCCAGCTGCACATTCCCGGCCAGGGACACCCCGGGTGCCCACGGGACACGCTCCCAGCACAGCACGGGTCACCCAGGCCACGCGCCCGCCTCCACCACAGAGGGTGTGCTCGTGTATTTATATAAAACATCGCGCTTACACGTGGGGAAAAGGGGGAACTCAGCCTGCCAACATCAGCAGCACAGGGGGGACAGATAAATCCCAGACATCCCCCTGCCATCCCCTTCCCACGGATTCTGTGTGATTTTTGTTTTGTTAAAAAAAGGCTGCGCCATGCAGCATCAACAATAGCTTCACAATACCAGCTCAAGGCATCGCTGTACTGTACATCATTCAAGTATTTCTTAATATAAGACAACGAGGAATTATCTACAACTGATAAAACAAAATAAGCTATAGAAAGTAACAATGTACAATCAAGATGGACTTTCTTCCTTTCTGTTAAAGGAGGCCTCTCGGGGGTGTCCCAGTGCCTGCGTGGGGGGGTCTCCCCTCATCACCACCTCGCTCCTCCCCACCCAGCACGGTGGGACTGGGAGAGGGCTGACTGCAAGGGTGAGGCAGTTTTTGGGGGGTGGGATGGGGATGGAGCTGCCCTCCCCCACAGCCCCCAGGTCAGCAGAAAGGCCAGGAAGGGTGAGAGAAGACGGCCCCTGCCCTAAGCTCCACCAACACCCCTGCCCATCCTCCCCCAAGATAACTCACACACACCTCCCTGAAACAAAAAACAACATATATTGCATAGTATTGCTGTCAGCAGTCTTAAAATGAAAAGGAGAACTTTCGATTTTTTTCCAGAGACAGCGACTGACTTCAGCTGAAGACCCAGGGAAGCCTCTTCTCCCCCGGCTCAGAGCTCCCAAACCCTCACCTGTGCACACGAGGCTGCTTTTGCAAAATATAAAGCTCCAAGCACTGAGTGGGCAGGGCTGTGAAAGGGCACCCTTCCGCAGAATGTGGGTGGCAGCGGGCACAGCTGTGGCCAAGCCATGGGCTTGCCGTGGTGGGGCACAGGGGTGTCGGGGGGATCTGGAGGCACTGGGGGGAGCTGGAGGTCAGCCCAGCCCCAAGTGCCTCCTGGGCAGACCCAGAAACCAGCCAAGGGCCTCATCCCAGCTCAGCATTCCAAGCCCTTCCCTGCCATGCATTCCTTTCCTTCCCCAAAGCAAGCCCTGAGGAAAGGGCAGCGCCTGAACACACGTGAACACGGATGCACATCCATGAACACGCACACCAGCACTGCCCTCTGCCCCGACCCCAGACCCTCCAGCCCCACATTCTGAGTTGTCCCCAGGCTGCTCCCCCAACATTGCGGCCCTTGGGTGCTGCCACCAGCCTGGCTGCTCCCCACTGGTATCCCTAGGGCACTGGGCACCCTCTGTGCCCCCAGACCCTCCTGCCACGGCAGCCTCGGGGCCAGCCCGAAGCCACAGCAGGTCTCACTGTCCTGCAGCAGGTCCCAGAGCTCCTTAAGTGGCTCCTTGCTTTCCACGGAGCACAACTATTCCCAGAGGGAGTTTCTGGCTGCTCTGGCCACCCTGAACACCTCATCCCCCTCACACCTCCACCAGGGCACAGCCACCAGCGCCTCCAAACCCAGGGGTACAACCCCTGCCCTGGCACAAGAGCCCAGCCCTGGGTGCCTGCGAATCCCCCGGCTCTGGCCTTACCCCCGGGAGCCGCTGCTGGAGCACAGGAGGGAGGAAAGGAAGACATTTCTCTGTGCCCTGTAGAGAAGCACAGCTAGCAGTTTAAAACCAACAATCATAAAAAAAATAAAAAAAAGGAAAAAGAAAGAAAAGAAGGGGGTGAATAGCTTATTCTGGGATGCCAAGGAGAGAGGGTGGCTCGGTGGGACAGGGCACTGCTCCCTCGCTGGCACCATCTCCCCCCGGCCTGAGCGGTTCCCTGCACAACACCCACCGTGTCCCCCCGGAGCAGAGCCAGGGAAGCCCCCAGCACGGGACGGAGGTGCCTCCCAGACCCCCGGGAAAGGGGGGTTTGATGGGATCTACCCCAACATCGGAGAAAAACCTGCAGCTCCGGGGGGAGGGACGAGGTTAAAATGCGACTCCCGTTGTTGGAAACGCGACCGAGGGTCTTTTGTTCACAGTATGAAATGAGCTGAAATCGTCAAAGCAGCCGCGGGTACAAAGAGTCCTTTGGTGTCGGGGAGGGGGGGAAATGTCAGAGGAGAAACCAAGAGTCGGGGAACAAAAGTCCATGTGTCTGTCAGATGTCCTTGAGTGTGCCCTGGGTGAAGCAACCTCACGCTTGAGTTAATACCTTAAAAAAAAAAAAGATATCTTAAACAAACCCTCCCACCCCCAGACCTACAAGATCAGCAAAACCTTGGAAACCAGCCACAGGGACGAGTCCTGATCTTGTCACTAGCCGGAAATGGTGAGGTTGGGTGGGGGGGAAAGGGGGGAAGAAAGAAAGGAGAAGGGGGGATATGGGGTCCAGCAGGTGCAGGGGGCACCGCTCAGGCTTGGTCGGCCACCAGGACCAGCGGGGCCACCAGGTGCTGCCCGGCGGCCACTGCCTTGGCCAGGCTGCTCTTCTGCCGGCGCTTGGCCAGCTTGGACTCGGAGGGGGGGGAGAGCTGCATGGCCCGTGAGGTAGCTTTGATGATGATGGGTCGTGCTTCCTCCTCCGCCTCTTCCTCCTCGTCCTCGTCGTGCCGCGTCAGCTGGCGGTTGACAGCGATGGCCTCGGCGGCGAAGCAGGTGAGCTCTTTGGCACTGCTGTTCCTGCAGGGGAGGCAGGGGCTCAGGGGGGCGTGGGGGGCTGCAGGGAGGGCAGGGTCACATATCAGGCTGTCCCTCCTCATGTGCAGGTCATGGTCAGGCACCAAAAACTTGGCTCGGACCCAACTCGCAGCAGCCGCCGCTGCCCAGACAGAGCTGTGGTGGCAGAGCCCCCAAAAAGCAGCAGGAGTAGACAGCAGTGCTGAGGAGAGGAGCCAGGATTTTTGGGGTTGGGATTTCAGTTTTGGGGCAGGATTTCTGGGGCTGGGTGGCTGGGCCCCCCATCCCGCACTCACCTCTGCAGGATGATGGGGGTTGGCAGGGTGTTGTCCGGGGCACACTGCAATGAAACACAGTCCGTCAGAGCCAGGAACCCCACAGGGGGGTGTCCCCCCACCCCAATTTTGGGAGCAGAGAGCAGGGAGGGGGCATCACCACTCACCCCCTGCACCCAGGGGTGCTCCAGGACCTGGGCTGCGCTGAGCCTCTTCTTGGCATCTCTCACCAGCAGCTTGGAAATGAGGTCTTTGGCTCCGAAGGAGATGTGTGCCCAGTCCTTGTCGGGAAACTCATACTTCCCCTCCTGGATGCTCTCAAAGAGCATGTTCTGGGGAGGGGGGAGAAAAAAAAAATCACAGGGGCTCAACCAGGGGCGCTGCTGCAAAACTGGGGGTGGGTTTGGCAGTGCAGGGTCCCCCACGTACCTGGCAGGTGTGACAGGCCTCGCCCCGGTCCCAGCCGCAGTCGGAGCCGCAGTGGCCCACAAAGGGGGGGTACCCACTCAACATGATGTACAGGATGACCCCCAGGCTCCACAGGTCACAGCGCTTGTCGTAGATCGTGGCCTCCTCGTTGAAGGCCTCCACCACCTCTGGGGCCATGTACTCGGCTGAGCCACACTGTGGGGACAGGCAGGTGAGCCCAAAGGGTGGGCACCAAGGGCAGAGGGGGCTGGGAGGGTTCTGCCAGAGCTACAGGGCTGCACCCCTGAAGGGAGGGTGCAGACAGGGCTGCTCCCTGGGATTTGCTCCTGCCAGGGCAGATCATCCTGCAGGGTTTCCCAGCACGGGGGATGCCACAGACCTGCCTCTCTGGGGTCACCCAACAGCGAGCTGCCACCCCACAGGGGAAGAAAAAAAAAAGCCTAAAGGG